CGTTCCACGGCTCAGCGGGCCAGGCGTGCTCAGGGTTACACGCGGGGATGAAATCCTGGTCCTGTTAGCCTCTCTCTGGGGCGCACGCAGGCTCCCCGACACCCCAGCAACTCGATTCAGGGCCTTGGAAGACCGCAGAGCCGCACTCGGCCACAGAGTTGCCTGCAGCTGAGAACATATGCGCTGACCAGGGAAGTGTGCTCCGTGCTCCGTGCTCAGGGGGCCCTGGTGGCGCTCCTAAGTGTTACTTCCCTTGCCCACCGGAGCTCCACCACTTCGCCTGCCCCCTGTGGGCGGTTCCCGCTGCTCTCCTGACCCTAAGCCCCCTGCTTCTCTGCCTGCAGGGGCACCTCCCTTAGAACAGGCGCTTCCTAGGGCCACAGGGGGCAGCGGCCCAGCACTCACCTGCGCATGCATCAAGGCCTCCTTTATCTCATAGTCGATCCGGGAGATGACATGGGCATTGAACCCCGCCAGGGCAAACAGGGTGGGCGTCGTGGCAGAGGCGCCAAACGAGTCGACCTGCCAGGAGAACTGTGGCCGGATCCCGAACGTTTCATAGAGGAAGCCGTGTCCTTCTGCAGAGAGAGCACCGGTGCCCACACTGGCCACAGGGCGGGCCCCTCGCCCCTCACTCACTTGGGGTCTGCTGCACAGATGACTCATGCAAAGGGCTCCAACCCAGTCACCCGCCCTTCACTTAGTCCTTAGGACTGAAGGGCCGCCCCGGAGCCAGAGGCCAGGCTGAGTGATGCAGAGAGAGTGATGGGCTGGTTTGGGAAACAGCTTCTGGGGTCCACTGGGCAGAGCACCCTTCCTGACCCACAGCGATGCAACCCCAGTTCCGGTCGCCGTGCGCTAGGTCAGGCCTGCAGGGCTAGCACTGGGCGCTCAGGGTTCGAGGGCAGGTGGGCTGAGTCCTGAGGTGAGGCTGCTGCTGCTGTGGGCACCCCTGAGGCAGGCCGGCAGCACCCCCCACCCCCGCCATGCCCATCAGCACTTGTCCAGCCAGACCGTGAACTGAGGGGGGTCCCAAAGATGACTCGGACTCGGGCTGCTGACAGAGGCCCCCTGAAGTTTCGGGGGGAAGGGGAGGTGATAAGGAACTACGGGGACCCAAAGGAGGGGTCCTGGCAGAAGAGACTGAGATGAGCTGTTCAGGTGGAGGCAAAAGGAAACATTACGACCGAAAACACAGGATGGGTTCCAGTTGGAGCAGATAACGGGCAGGGTAAAGAGCGGCAGAAGCCCTGGCCGGTTGCTCAGTGGTTAGAGCATCAGCCAGGGTTTGATCCCAGTCAAGGGCACGAATGTCCATTGCAGGCTCGATCCCCACCCCCGGAGAGGGCACGTGCAGAAGGCAACCAGTCAATGTGTCTCTCTCGCATTGGTGTTTCTCTCTCTCTCTCCCCCTCTCCCTTCCACTCTCTCTAAAAATCAATGGAAAAAATATCCTCAGGTGAGGATCAACAACAAAATAAATAAATAAAAAAATTTTTAAAAAGGGGGGGCAGCAGGAGGCGGAAGAGGAGCCGGCGAGGAGCCCCGAGCAGGCCCGGAGGCCACGTGAGGAGCCGGGAAGGGTTATGAAATGAGAACTAAAGCAATTGCCATCGCGTTCCCAGCTCCGCACCTCGCTCTCCAACAGACCTGAACAGCCTCTGGGACTCACTTTCACTGGGAACCAGTTCCAGCCCCGCCCTCGGGCTTGGCTGGCGGCTGTGGCAGGAGGCTCCCTCTGCGCCAGACCCCCGCCCGGGTGTGAGCATGTGCGAGGGGCACAGGAGCAGCCCTGGCCTGCAGTAGGGGCTCTGTGGGCGGAAGGCATCTTGAACACAAGAGGGACGTGAGAGTCTGAGAAGAAAGGGTTTTGTCAGCAACACCACCTTCTAGACGAAAGTGGCAAAGGGGGTGAAGTCTGGAAATGAGGCAGGGAGACCCTGAGGTAAGGGAAGGACTCCAGATCACAGAGGGGGAGGGAGGCAGTGCTCAAAGGCCCTAAGACAGCATCCAGTTCCTCCGACTCTGCCTTGATGGTTTACACACTGGGCACCTGAGGCCGTGCTGTCGTGGGGTGGCCTGGGGCGGAGGGTCTCAGGCCTGGCTTCACTCTGGCTCACCCACTGGCGATTTTCCTTTTTCTCTTCTTTTCTTTTTTTTTTCTTGGTCAGTGTTCCAGCTGCCCTAGTTTCCTCCCAGCAGCCTGCCGTTAAATGCTTCTTATGAAGCCTTTGGTAAACGGTGAGAGAAGTACCACCATTGCAATGGTGGGTGGAGATGGTCAGGTGGAGGTGGGGATGAGGAAGGTGCTGGTGGTCATAAAGGTAGTGGTGCTGGGGGTAGAAGTGGAGGTTGTGAAAGTGATAATGATGGTGGTGTTGATGATGGTGATAATGATGGTGGTGGTGATGATGGTGGTGATGATGGTGTTGATGATGGTGGTGGTGATGGTGATAATGATGGTAGTGGTGGTGGTGATGATGATGGTGATAATGATGGTGGTGGTGATGGTGGTGGTGGTGGTGGGGGTGGGGGTGATG